CTGCCTGTATTGAACTCGCAACCTTATGTGTTGCAGTTAAACAAACCCCCTGTTCCCCCTGCCACTGTTCCGAACATTCTGTATTCGCAATGAGTTTATTGTAATGTCATTTCCAAAGGCTGGACATTTAGACTTCCTATTGCAGAGTATTATCCGTTAATTTGACTTATTTTTATTAGAAATAAACTTATCAATCTCCTTATGTTATTAAGAATTTATTAATAGATTTTAGTTATGTTGAATTATATATCAAGCATAACCAACTCAATACAACAACTGTACCTTTAATTTCTATACACCTATTGACTATTACATAATAGCAATTGTAATATTAATTGCATCGTGCTGAACCAATTAACTCGTAATTCGTAATTCTTCAATTTATGTTAAATTTGGGGTAAAATCGTGACAATAAATAATTACGAATCGCTGTCAATTTGCGATAAATGGCATTCCTTTGTACTGCGTGGCGTTGAAGTAGGCAGATGATGTTAAGTCTTCATTTTATGGTCATCTCTTTTTTTTTGCACATTTCAAGTGTGGTTAATAAGCTCTTGTCAAATCAAATAGCAATTAGTTGCGTTTAGGTATTTTTTGTTGCCGCTGAAATGAGAAATACAACAAAAAACCAAAAACACACTGTCTAGTATTTTATTTTTTTTTTGTTTGTCTCGAAATCTTTACAGTATTGCATTATCTTCAGTGATTTTGTGTGGCTTTCTCCCAGTGCGTCAATAAAACATTACTAGAAAAAACACAAAAACAAGACAAACAAAACTCTAAACAAATATGACAGACAATGTGAACAACAACAACAACAACAAAACCAGCCAAAAATGGCAAAACGATACCCCATCGTCTGGTTTAGGTGATTTCAGAAATTGAAAGTTTTTTTTTTTTTTTTTTTGCTGCTGCTGATGTTGTTGTTGTTATTTTGGTACTTTTATTTTGTTAAGTAATTTCAATATGATTTGATTACGTCTGTGCGTTTGTTGGTCAACAAAAAAAAAAAAAAAACAAAAACGCAAAAAATAAAATCTTAGAAGTGGTTTCAAGTATACCATTGCGTAACCTGTTGAATTTTTGTTTACCCCGTTTTTTTAATACTATTATGGAATATCTTTGAAGAGGTATTGTGTTTGTAGGTAGTTAGGTGAAATTATGTACTTGCTTCATCTTTTTTTGTAAGGCAGACGATCTATTAGTGAAAAATAGAAATAAAATTAATTACAATTGCCAGAAAGTAATTGCTTAATTGTTATTTACATTCCAAATAAAGGTTTACAACAATGGCTAATTAGTCAAAAGCAAATAATTTCATATTTCCTGAGGTTAATTGTTGTTGAGGAAAATATCGTTTTACATATTTTGTCTTTGGGCAAATATGATTAATGAAAAATCTATATGTTTCATGTGTAATTAAATGCATTATTAATTAATTAGAGAGTTCTTTTAAAAATTACAATGATTTATTTAAAGTTGTTATTTGATTTTGGATTCAAAATCAGTTGGAACTGATTCCGTCCCCAGGATAATTTCTCCATTCCACTTGAAACCAAAATTTTAAATCTATGGGAAAATATGCTCTTTTTACACCGAAATAATTATTTTTTGATCGCATTATATATTTGTCTTCTTAATAACTGTATAATACAAAGAGAATTTTGAAAATTTTTCAATTTAAAAAAAAAAACAGACCGATTTTAGTTACTTTTTTTGAAAATTTTCTAAATTTGGTGTTTTGACTAAAAACTAACTGACTAAAAAAAAAAAACTGACTAAACTAACGACTAAACTAACTACTAAAACTACTTTTAAGAATGTTTAATGTTTAAACAACATTTTCATCGCATATAAACTCTCCTGACTGATTGTAGGTATTCAATAGGTCGTCGTCCAATTTTCCACTTTTCCTGGTACTTCTCACACGAGTCTTAACATTTTTATACCCTCCACCATATATGGTATAGATGGTATATTAAGTTCGTCATTCTGTGTGTCCGCCTGTTGTAATCACGCTACAGTAAAAACGATTTTGCACAGATCTGACTTTTGTCTGTAGGCAGGTCAAGTTCGAAGATGGGCTATATCAATCAACGATATCGTATATCTCCACTATAAAAGCACCTCCCAATATTCGGTATTTTATGATTTTAGCAACATTTTCCAATGGAATCGTCTGAAAATCTTCACAAGAAGTTCTTTCTAAGTACTTTACCATCCTGGAAAATAATTGTCTATATAGGCCACCATATCGTATAGCCTCCATATAACAGTACTTCCCAATATTCGGTATTTTAATGATTTTATTGACATTATTAACAGGAATTGTTTAAAATTTCGTATTTAAAGTTCTTAATGGGCACTACAGCCTATGACAAAAAATTGTGTATGCATGTGCATGTCTTCGTATAGCCCCCATATAATGGTACTTTGATGATTTTTGCAAAATTATTCACCGAAATTGTTTCAAATTTCGCATTTAGAGTTCGTAATGATACTACAGGTTATAGAAGAAATATTGCGTATGCAGGCCCTCTTCTTCGAAAAACCCTCACATAACGGTACCTCCCTATATTCGGTATTTTAATGATTTTAGCAACATTATTCACCGGAGCTGTTTCATATTTCGTACTTGTCTATGACATAAAACTGTCTATGCAGGTCCAGGTCTTCGTATAGCCCCCATATATCGGTACCTCCCTGTATTCGGTATTTTGATGATTTTAGCTACATTATTCTCCGGAATTTTTTTAAAGTTTCGTATTTGAATACTATAATGGCCTATGACAACAGTTGCCTATGCTGGTCACGTCTTCGTATGGCCCCATATAACGGCGACTTCCTATGTTTTTAAGATTTTAATAGAATTTTTAACGAATTTTATTTTGTTTGAAAATTTCCAAATTTATCATTCGAATTATATTTAGACCATTACTTTTTTGTAAAAATATTGGAAAATTTCCATTAAATCAGAGATATTTATAATTTGATGGAAATCACAAATACACGAAAAAATCACTTCTGATAATTACATTAATGCTGATATCCCAGATATTGCATATATAGGAAAATATATATAATCTTATATATCAAAGAGAGAGATGTTATAACTCAAGAACGGCTGGATGAATTTTGAAAATTGTCACCAATTTAGAATGGTTTTTTGTGGCAAAAAGAATAAAATTAAAAAAAAATCGAATAAAATAATTCTAACAAAAATTCGAATATTTATACCCTCAGCCATATAGATAGAGGGTATATATTATTTGATACGGCCAAAACGTGCCTCAACGAAATAACGGTTTTAGACCATATGTCTCTTGTACCAAATCTCTTTCAAGACTATTGGAGTCTGTCTGGCTGGTGCGCACTATAACTCTCGATTTGGCCCGAGCTTGGTGTATAATAATTACCAAACTTAGATAGAGTTCGGAGATGGGCAATGAATTTTGAAAATTGTCACCAATTTAGAATGGTTTTTTGTGGCAAAAAGAATAAAATTTAAAAAATCGAATAAAATAATCCTAACAAAAATTCGAATATTTATACCGTCAGCCATATAGCTAGAGGGTATATATTATTTGATACGGCCAAAACGTGCCTCAACGAAATAACGGTTTTAGACCATATGTCTCTTGTACCAAATCTCTTTCAAGACTATTGGAGTCTGTCTGGCTGGTGCGCACTATAACTCTCGATTTGGCCCGAGCTTGGTGTATAATAATTACCAAACTTAGATAGAGTTCGGAGATGGGCAATGAATTTTGAAAATTGTCACCAATTTAGAATGGTTTTTTGTGGCAAAAAGAATAAAATTTAAAAAATCGAATAAAATAATCCTAACAAAAATTCGAATATTTATACCGTCAGCCATATAGCAAGAGGGTATATATTATTTGATACGGCCAAAACGTGCCTCAACGAAATAACGGTTTTAGACCATATGTCTCTTGTACCAAATCTCTTTCAAGACTTTTGGAGTCTCTCTGGCTGGTGCGCACTATAACTCTCGATTTGCCCCGAGCTTGGTATATAATAATTACCAAACTTAGATAGAGTTCGGAGATGGGCAATAACGAAGACGTGGACCGGCTGTAGTATCCATTATATCCAAATTTGAAACAATTTGGGTGAATAATTTCGCTAAAATCATCAAAATACCGAATATCGGGAGGTAGCGTTGTATGGGGCTATATAAAGACGTGGAGCTACATGGCCCATTTTCAATACCAAAAGTCCTGCAGACATAACATACATTTGAGTAAAATAAAAAAAATTTCGATCGGAAGCCAAAGTTATTTCCACAGACGGATAGACGTACTGACATCGCTAAGTCGACGGCACAGACATTTTCTGTTTTAGGCTGTATTATCCATTACGAACTTCAATACCAAATTTGAAACAATTCTGGTGAATATCGGGAGGTAGCGTATGGGGGCTAAACGAAGACGAGGACCTGCACAGACAATCTCCTGTCATAGGCTGTAGCATCCATTACGAACATCAAATACCAAATTTGAAACAATTCCGGTGAATAATGTCGCTAAAATCAAAAAAGTACCTAATATCGGGATTATACGAACTTCTAATACCAAATTTGAAACAATATCGGTGAATAATGTCGCTAAAATCGTCAAAATAACGAATATCGGGAGGTACCGTTATATGGGGGCTATACCAAAACGTGGAGCTACATGGCTCATTTTCAAAAGTCCTGCATACATAACATACATTTGAGTTAAATTTAATCAATGCACTTCAATAAAACGGTTGAGTGTGAAATTTCAGTTATTTCCGAAAGAGCGAACTAGGTATCTGACGTAGTGGGAACATATTCTTCGTAAAATATCGATTTTTTAGAAATCTGCTCTTATTATGTAGTTAATATGTGGATGTCTTTTTTAAGTTAATCTTCATTTAAGTCAAAAGGGGTTCCTTACTTGCAAAATTTAATTTTATGCATTTTCTACGCACTTTTATTATTTAGAAAAATAGTATTTCCTTTTTGTATTTCTATTAAGTTCTTTTTTATTCATTTTTATTTAAAATCAATTAAATTTGTACTCCATAGTAGTAGTAGCAGTAGTTTTACACTTAAACTAATGAGAAAATATTTAATTATAAATTTCCTATTAATACGGATTATTACAGCAACAATTTTTAATTAATGAATGTTCATAGCACGATTTTGCATACAAGAGCGAACATTCATAATAGACACACTCGGGCGGCTTCTGATATATAGAACCTGCAAAGAAAATATGTATATGTATATGTCAACGAATGCAAATGCGATTGATATTTTATGGATGGAAGTAGTCGGAATTAAATATCAATGGAACAGAATGAAGGTTAAGCCTCTTTTTGATTCTTAACGTTAAAGATTAGTACGAGATTGTGTGTGCGTTGTGTTAATTAGAAAATTAAGTCTGTTGGAGAGATTGCAAGTGACATAGATTTACATGGAGGGGTGGGATGATGATTTTAAAATGCTGAAAATGAAAATGTAATGAATTATCGTTATCTGGAGAAGGTAAATCTATAGTTGTCAGAACGCATCAAATATCACATACCTGATAATACGATTCTAAGAAAGAATATTTGTCTTGATTTGCTATTTAAAAAAAATCGGTTTTCAATTGTGACCTATATAGCGACTGCAAAATCAGGAAAATTTTAACTTTTTTGTCGTTTTTAACCCCTAAATGTAAATTTTCAGACGCAATAGGCATTAATGCTGACCCTAACCCTACCCCCATGCCAAATTTCGTGAGGACCGGACGATAATTGCGACCTTTATATAATACTCTTAAAATCAGAATTTGGGAAATTTGTCTGTTTTTCGTTCATTTTAACCCCTAACTATTTGGCGATTATCTCCAAAAACAATTGGCTTCTTTTCTGTCCCTAGCTTACCTCCATTCTCAATTTCGTGAGGATCGGACCACTATTTCGAGGTGTTACATAATCATTCGTTCACCAAATGACAATGGGGCCACTTTTTTCCTGTTTCCTAGCATTTTTCGTTTTTTCTTTTTTTGTTATCTTTATTTTTTGGCATTTAATGGAAATTAATGTCTCTATAAAAATTTTTTCTGTATTGGTTCAGGACAGTAAGTTCGGCATTTGAAGTGCACAAAAAGCTCGTAATGGTCTTCTAATTCGTATCTAATTTTTCGCAATAGCTAAGATATAAGCTACATTATACCCTACACCACATAGTGGTAAAGATATTATGTCTTTGTGCATTTGTTTGTGACATGGAGAAGGAAGCGAGATAGACCCATAGTTACTTTTGAGAACCTTCATAGAATCACTTTCTGAGTCGATTTATGCATGCCAGTCCATCCAAATATCAGATACAGCTTAGAAATAAGTTTTTATACCCTCCACCATACTATGGAGGGTATATTATATTTGTAATTCCATTTGTAACACCTCGAAATATACATTTTAGACCCCACAAAAGTATATATATTCTTGATCAGCGTAAAATTCTAAGTCGATTTAGCCATGCCTGTCTTTCGGTCTGTCTGTTGTAATCTTTCGAACGAAATGACACGTGTTTATTTTTCCAGTAGGTAGGTTAAGTTCGTAAATGGGCCATGTAGATGACGATTTTAGCGACATTATTCACCGGAATTGTTTCAAATTTGATATTGGAAGTTCGTAATGGATACTACAGCCTATGACAGAAAATTGTCTGTGCAGGTCCACGTCTTCATGTAGCCCCGATATAACGGTACCTCCCAATATTCGGTATTTTGATGATTTTAGCGTCATTATTCACCGGAGTAGTTTCAAATTACGTATTTAGAGTTCGTAATGGGAACTACAGTCTGTGGCAGAAAATTGTCTATGCAGGCCCAGGTCTTCGTATAGATCCCATATATCAGTACCTCCCTATATTCGGTATTTTGACGAGTTTAGGTACAATATCCACCGAAATTGTTTGATATATCGTATTTGACGTTCGTAATGGACGCTATAGCCTGCGAAAGAAAATTGTCTATGCTGGTCTAGGTCTTCGCACAGCTCCGATATAACGGTACCTCCCTATATACGATATTTTGATGATTTTAGCTACATTATTCACCGTTTATTTCAAGTTTCGAATTTGAATATGGCAATGGCTTATGACAAACAAGGCCTATATAGGTCCACGTCGTATAGACCCCAATATAACGGTTATTTTTAAAATTTCCAAATTCGTTCCAAATGGTGGATTGTATTCAAAGTTCGGCCCGGCCGGACTTATTGCTTTTTACCTCGTTAAAATATAGTCAAGATCGGTTCAGATATAGCACCCATATATATCTTTATCCGATTTCAGGTTTTTCGTGCACCAAATGAAAATTATCAGCCCAAATGGACTGAATTTTGGCACTTCCGACGGAATTCAGCCTAGAAGCAAGTACATCAAATTTTGCTAAAAATCGGTTTTGGATATAGCTCCCATACATAGCTGTAGCTCTAGCTATAGCTTCCATATATATGTTTCATCCTGTTTGGTGTTAAAATCCCATATATATTTGGGATCTCCGAAGAATATTTTGAGGTATTGCAAGTGGAATGGCAAATTAAATATACCCTCCATTGCGGTGGTATTCAAATTTGAGAATATTTATTCGACTTTTAGAGGCTAAAATGCTCAACAATTTCGAGCGGCAACTTCTGTTAAAATAATGGGTTGGTAACCAGTTTTGCAATAAGTAGTTGTGCTGAGATATATCAATATTCTTCTTGTACCTCTTTCCCAAAAAATCCATATCATCTACCTTATAGGCATTGAAGTATGTTTCCTAAATCTCATGTATCGTAGTTATTGTTTAACTTTATTGTTAGGACCTGCAATTTGCAGAATCAGTCCACTCCAATCACTATCTCACCCAAAAATAAGTAATAAATAAGTATATGTTTAAAAAATGCCAAATGGACTATATCCATCTGATCCATCTAAAATCTACTTGAAGTAAGGTTTAAAGTACAAAATTTCTAATTTGTTTATTTGGTATTCCTCGCGCAATCAGTAGATAACTTCGAACTCTCAGGTTTAAGTCGCAATCACATTTTTTTACGAAATTTTTTATAATATTTCTCTAATATTTCGATAAGGGGCATGATGCTCGACCTAATTTTTTCAGACAGTTTTATAATCCCTGAATTTTTTGGTTTAATATGTTTGAAACATGCCCTAATATCGAATTTACTTTCTCCAGATATGAATTTTTAATTTTCAAATCCATGTGACCGGACCACTAATTCCACTGAACTTAAATCTCCCCACAACCGAAAAACAATATTCATATGGCTTTCCATTAAATCCCCTACAAATTTCTTAATTTCAGTAGCATTCGGAAAGCCATACAACAATAAAACTGGCCATAAACATAATTAATAATTCAATTACCTGGAAAATCACAACAGCAGGAATCGTGGATTAATTTATGTGAACAATAGCTGTACACGGACGAATCGCACAATGGACAGCCGGCGAATGTTGATTGCGGAGGCATGGGGCCTTGTGGTGGTACATATTGAGCGGCATTTGGATATTGACGTAACTCCAGTTTGTGTAGGGACAGAGATTTTTGTGGTGTGGTAGCTGTTGCGTTTTGTGGTTCTGAAATGAAATGGAAACAAAGAAAAAACAGTTAAATATTTGGAGGAATTCGAATAACATTTACAAGTGTAATGATTTAGATGTGTCTGAATGTTGTCATTCCACATTCACTTTACATTTCACTTGTCAATGCATCGCCGCACTGGAGTGAGAAGATATACGATGCGACATCGTTTGCATACCGAGTTATGAATTTCCAGTACCCACCAACACATGCGTGTACATAATTTGTCTGTTATTATGATTATTGTTATTATTTACCTAAAGTATTCAAATCGTTAGTTTCACTTTCTGCCAATGATGGCTGGATGTATGGAGTACTTAGCACCATTAACATTAGCAACAGCATCCGTAATGTTTTCATTAGAAATACTGCTCTCACACCTCCAACTCCACCTCTTGCTGCTGCGGCTGCTTCTGATGATGATGTGGTTGTGGATGCCCCAGCATTGCGGTATGTCATGGACAAGATGACATTGTTCATCGTCATCATCGTGAACATTTGTTGGGTGTACTTGTAATTGGAAGAATGGGTTGACGAAGATGACGAAGACGACGGCAACGACTTTGTATTAAGTCCGCCTGACTGACTGACTAACTGGCTGCTTGGCTGGCTGGCTGACTGACTGAATAGTTTGTGTATCTGGTTATCTGGTTATTACACAACTAAAGCCATGTCAGGTTTTTTAAACATCTCAACGTCTTCTTGTTTTCTTTAAACATAAGTTATGCCGACGAAGAAAGGGAGAAATGCATAAAAATGTGGTTTATGGTTTATGTATGTGAATGGATGGTTGGATTGGTTTGGTTCGGAATGGAATGGAATGGGATGGGTGTTATATTGGATGCTGTGGAATTTTGTAGCTGCTTGTTTACGTTTTGTCAACTCATTTAGGGTTTTTTTATTTAAAACGTGTGCGTTGTTGTATTACTTACGGTTGTTATTGATGAGGAGAGGGTCTACCTGTCTTTCTACGCATAGCTACCTTTTTTAAAGGTTGATATTTTGGGTATTTAGGATGATTTGTAAGAAATTAAACGAACTGTCGGTCATTCTGAAATATAGTAGCTACGACTTTTATTCCCTATGGTAAATGTATTTAGTTTTAAAATTATACTTGGTCTAATTATCATAGAGTAAAATATTTTTACCCTCCACCTTGGAAAGGGGAGTATATTAAAATTGTCATTCCGTTTGTATCACCTCAAAATATTCGTCATAGACCCCATAAGGTATTCATGATCAGCATAACATTCTAAGTTGATTTAATCATGTCCGTCTGTCTGTCTGTTGAAATCACGATACAGCTCACATTATTTGACGTAGAATTTTAAAATTTGGGATCGCTGATTCTTTTGTGTCTAGGATGGTTGGTATTGAAAATGAGATACCTCCCGATATTCGGTATTTTGATAGTTTTAGCCACATATTTCCACCAATTTGTCTAAAAATTGGTATTTTTATTTCCTTATGAGTTCAAGCTCTGGCCGAACATTCTACATATAGATCCTCGTTTTCGTATAACCCCCATATAAGGGTATCTCCCAATTTTCGGTATTTTGAAGATTTTTGCCACTTTTCAACGGATTTGCTTAAAAAAATGTACGTAATGGGTTCTAGTTCAGATGGAAGAACATTGAATACATAGGTCTACGTTCCAACGGATATTCGGCATTTTGACGACTTAACCCACATTTTCTAATAGATTTGTGTGAAATTTGATATTTTTACTTCATAATGGGCTCTACCACCGGCGTCAAAATATTGTTCATGTTGATCCTAGTCATCCTAATCGCATTTACCCACGTATGTAAAATGTTATTATTATACCATCAGCCATATGGCTAGAGATGGTATATACCATCATATATCAAAAGTGCCTCATCGAAATAACGGTTTTAGACCCTAGTTCTCTTTGGACCAAATCCGTTTCAGGACATCGTTCGTCTGTCTGGCTGGTGCGCACGATAACTCTAAAAGGGAGTATCCGATTTGGTTAACACTACATCGTACATCGTAATAGTATTGTCAAACTTAAATCCAGTTCGGAGATGGGTGATATCGGCTCACTTCCTCTGGTACCGCCCCTACAAAAGATCGACATTTTCAAAGACAAATTATAGAAAGTGAAAGGATCATTCGATTTAGTGCAAGCTTTACAAATCTCAATATTTTTGTCAGTGCTAGGTCAGGTGCGAAAATGGACAATATCGAACCACTCCTTCAAGTACCTCACCCACAAAGGGTCAGCATTTTGAATAGTTACAAGTCTTATAAAATATGAAACAGAAGTCCGATTAAGGTATTCCAATATTTTTATCAACATAAGATCTGTTATGAAGATTGTAAAGATCGGGCCATTTCTTCTGGTACCTGGAAGATATAGGACCACTGCCTCTTTTATATATCTCACAAAGGGTCAAAAATTTCGCATAATTATAATAATTTTAAAACATGAAACAAAAGTCCGATGGTCTTTAAATTTGACGTTTCCCAATATTTTTATCAACATAAGATCTGTTATGAAGGTGGTAAATATCGGACAATTCCTTCTGGTACCTCCCTAACAAAGAGTAAAGATTTTGAATAGTTATGAGTCTTTTAAAAAGTGAAACGAAAGTCCGATTGTCTTTAAATTTGACATTTCCCAATATTTTTATCAACATAAGATCTGTTATGAAGGTAGTAAAGATCGGACCATTCATTCTGGTACCTCCCCCACAAAGTGTCAAAATTTTTAATAGTTACAAGTCTTATAAAATTTGAAATAGCAGTCTTCAAATTTGACACATCCCAATATTTCTACCAAAAAAAGATCTCGTGTGAAGATGGATGATATTGGTCCACTGTTTCTGCTGTCTCCCTCACAATGGGTCAAAAATTTGGCATAATTATAATTCTTTTTAATAAGTGAAACAAAAGTACGATTGTGTTCAAATTTGGCATATCCCAATATTTGTATTAACATAAGATCCGGTATAAATATGAGATATATCGCTTACCTCCTTCTGGTACATCCCCCACAAAAGGTCAAAGTTTTAAATATCCATGAAGCTCATAAAACGTGAAATTAATCGGATTCTATTCTGACATGGCACATCTCAATATTTCTAACGAAGATGATAGATGGTATAGATCGGTCCACTCCATCTGGTACCTCCCCCACAAAGTGTAAGCCATGAAGCTCATAGAACGCGAAATGAGCATCCGATTCCTTCCAAACTCAGCACACCCCAATATTTCTATCAATCTAAGATATATTGTAAAGATGGTAGAGATCTGACCATTCTTTCTGGTGCCTTCCCAACAAAGGGTAAAAGTTATGAATAATTACAAGTCCTATAAAATATTAAGCAGTAGTTCGATCATCTTTAACTTTGGCACATCCGACTATTTTCACTAACACAAGATCTGCTTAGAATATATAAGTTCACTCCATCAAGTACCTCCCCCACAACGGTTCAAAAAAATCTTTAAATTTGACAAATCCCAATACTTCCGCGAAGGAAAGATCTGCTGCTTCTGGTACCTGCCACTGCTTCTGGTACCTGCCTCACAAAGGTTCAAAATTTCGAATTATTATAAGTCTTATAAAATGTGAAGTAAGAATACCGTTTTCGTCAAATTTGCAATATTTCTACCAAAACAGGATCTGGTGTGAAGATAGGATATGTCGGTCCACTCCCACACAGAGGGTCAACATTTTGAATAGCCATGAAGCTCATAAAATGAACATCTGATTTCTTTCTACCGGAAGATCTTGTGTGAAGATGATATATATCGTGCCATCCTTTCTGGTACGTCACCCACAAAGTGTCACAATTTTCAACACTTATATCTGTCATAACTTGCGAAACAAGTCAGAAATCTATTACATCTTGTTATATATATAAATATTTCTCTCAATCATAAATCGGAGAATTTATGATATCGCATAAAATTGGATATAAAGTTCGATTTTCTTGTACTTTTGCCCATACAAATAATTTTATTTGCATTAGATGCAGTATGAAAATGGAATATTTATATCGACTATATCTGGCAACTCACGCACATTTTTTTTTTTTTTAAATTATCACATATCTCATATAAAGTGAAGGAAGTAACCAAACCTGGCATGTCGCTCGAATTGTATCATATTTATTTAGGTGCTATAAGAAATGGACAATATTGGTCCATCCATTGGTACCTACTCCATAGAAGGCCAACGATTTGAATAATCATAACAGAAGTCAAAATATATTTAAATAATCGAACATTGATTGAGGGTATACATCTGCCGGCAAAACCAACTAATACTTTTTAACTTATTTTACTCAAATTCGTGCAGAACCAGTCTCGTCTTCCAAAACACTCTGTGACAGACTCTGGAATCTTAGTCAATAAATAATATCTCATTTAATATTTAACCATAAAAACATGAAATTAACTTAATAATTTTTGTGTATAATAATTTCCATCCATTATAATATTTACAACAACATCTTTCTTCGGAGAGATTGAATGAATACTTAATGTTTCATTATCAGCATGACATATTGTACCACAACTACAACATGCAGTGGTAAATGGTAATAACTCGTTGTTATTTTCCGCATATGGATGTGTGCCCTGAGAAAAACTCGTTTCAAACATCGCCCACATAACAGATGAAAAATGTTTACCAAATAAATGGAAAAGCTTTTACTCCAGACATGTATATAATAACGACGACAACTATTAACACTTGACAACTGTAACAAATACATAAATTAACATAAATGATTCGAATGAAAAGGGAAAGAAAGCTAACTTAGACGCACAGCATAGTTTACGCATAGCGGTGAGAATGCGTGTGCGGAGGGAGTATTTGTGAAATGAGGGAGTAGATAAAGAAAAATTGTAGAAATTACTTTTATTTTCAGATCATATTCATGGGAGTATTAGAAATCGCGCAACATTAGTCGGGGTAGAATGGGCAAAGGTGAGAAAAGTAAATGTCATTAGCATACACGGATCAAAATTTATTTCAATCAATAACAATAGTAGTTTATCTCTAATGGTAGGATAAATTAATACATATTAAGGTAGGTGTATATTAAGCCTATAAAATTGAGACTGAAAAAAAGTTTCTACATATTTATCCTAAAAATTCCAAACATTGTTTTGAGCAAATGCATTTCAAAGTACGCGTTGATATTTGTCACTTAATCTGTGACAAAAATACCTGGTTATTTTTTTTAACAAAAAATTTATATTATTTAGACGCACTACAAATGGGTAATGTATCTCGCGCAAAATTTGAAAAAATTTGAACCAAACATCACATTTGGTATGGTGCGAGATGAGTAATCAATTGTTGACAAAAACAATTTGCCAAATTTTAGGAAAATCGTTGATCTATTTTGCCTTTTATGAAAGTTATGGTTTTTCAAAATTCAATTCAAATTTATGAAACTTTGTGGAGAACTACCAGAAGATGTCGATTTTCGCACCTGACCCAAGACTGATATAAATATAAAACAATATGAGATTTATTTGTATACCCTCCGTCATACAATGAAGGGTATATTAAATTTGCCATTCCATTTGCAACACCTTGAAATAAAATTATTATATTCATATTTTATTTGTCCGTCTGTTGTATTCACGATAGAGTCCACATTATTTAATCTTTTAGAGTTTTGAACTTTGGTACAAAGGTTTATATTA